TGCTGGGGATGATTTGGCGTTACGATACGTCTTCTCTTCTCTGCATTATTCTTTAACAATATATAAGAGATGAGATTATGACAGACTATTATTTGTTGATTGATATATCTAAAATACTAAAATTAACTTCTGTCTTACCAAATTAAGAGATGCAACACGTATGTGTCTTTTATACGTAGAGTGAGAGACTGAAATGAATGGGAAAAGAATAACAACAATTTCTTCATCTCGCTACATTTTGACACACCGAGTAAAGTTAATTGAGTTTTGGCATGCCTGTTATTAGTATTATTTTGTCTTTTTTACACCAGAACTGTCAACCGTTGTCTAGTGTGTCTGCAGTATACATCGCATGTTGCTTTATAAGTGACTGTTTCTGATAAATTAAGATGGTATGGCTGATGTAGCTTTTCCCCCTATTCCTATCACCATCTCATACTACAAAACCATGGATCTATTTCGTCAAAAGTAGTGACAGCTGAGAAATATCATGAAACAAATGTATGATATTTATAATGAGACGCTACCACCAGTGCTGCGTAAGTTCAGAGGCACTTATGTGCTTTTGCTCCTGGGATTTACTTTTTTCTTCTACTTTAGCATTATCCAACAAAACTATACGCTTTAAGGATGTGAATAGACGAGCAGAAAGAAAACAGCAGGACCGTCGAACATCAAAAGATACCTTACGTCACGCTGAAAGCCGTCGACGGAAGGAACGTCAGATGTCACCAAAACATTCACAGCGTAATTTGTTTTGTTTTACATTGAACAATAAATTAAGAAAAATGTGTATTCAGTTGGTAAAGTCAAAGTAAGAATGAGTACCTATTTCTTAGATTAGTAGTGCTATTACTCAGAACAAATTTTTTTCACTATCGTTGCAGTGCATTTAAAGGTTTAATAATATTGACAATCCTGTGTAATTGTATAGCTCTAGCATTGAGTACACCACATAACAATGATACAAAATGGAATAATATTATATTCGTAAGTGTGTATTGATTAACAGAGTCCAGGGGATTGTTAGAGAGGGCGTTTGTCAACATAAGTGACAACTGAGAGACACTTGAGTGAGCCGTTGAACCTGCGAAATTCTCTACTTTTTTGGAACGGTTTGACTTTCTTGTAATGTAGATGGAAATGACAGATGATACCTTTACCGGTCAGTCTTAGCCAAATCTATATCTTCACCTATGCTATCATGAAACAAAATAGGCCTTGTAGAAAGGCAAAAGAAATACATAGGTGCTACCATTGAACAATTTCGTTAGGTACTGAACTAACCAAAAAGTCAACAGACCAATGTCTATGGCGAAATACTTTAGAATAGCTAATAGCATTTGCGCACACAAAGCTGCCGAAAAGCTTTTCAAATTAGTTCCAGAGAGCAGAAATTCGCTTAGATCTGTAACTGATTGACATTTTTGTGTTTTCCATTTTTTTCAGAAATACGTTGAATATGTGTGTTTATGTATTTATATATTGGAAGCGATGCTGAAAATTATTGCCTACGGTTTATGTTTGCATACACATGCCTATCTAAGAAGTGGATGGAATATTTTAGACTTTGTAGTTGTAATTGTCGGGTAAATAATGAGCAATAAGGACAGGAAATATCGATGTATTTGTAGGTAAACGCCTCTTTTCTTTAGGGTATTGAATGTAATCTTTGATACGTATAATGATCAAGAATTTGAATTACAAGCCTTGAGAACATTTCGTGTTATTCAACTTTTAAAATTAGTTAGAGGCGTACCAAGTAAAAAATAGTTTAAGAAATCTAGTCTTCTCTCTATGGTCTAAGGTTTCGTGCACCAACTTAGGTTTACAACTTGTTCTAAATTCCATCTTACGTGCTATGTTGCCGTTACTTCATATATCACTCGTGATCTTATTGGTTATAATTATTTACGCAATTATTGGAATAGAATTATTTCGTGGCAAACTACATGCAACATGTTACAATAATGGAACCGGTAAGTATTCACAGTCTGTCGCTGTAAAAACTGCGTGTGTATTGATTTTTTCCCGCTTAAAAGATACCCTACCTCCTGTTGAAGACGAAGAGAAGCGTCAAAATTGTGGAATTGACAAAGGTAACCAATGCCCTGATGGAGAAGAATGTAAAGTTGTCAAATGGCCAGGGCCATGGTATGGTTATATTAATTTTGATAATATTGGTCTTTCAATGTTAACCGTATTTCAATGTATTACAACCGAAGGATGGACATCAATTATGTATAGAGTATGCTATATTATATTACAAGACTGACGTGAGTAACTACAACCGTTTTTATTTAACCTTCTTTTTTAGATCAACGATACAGTTGGTGATACGTGGACTTGGATTTATTTTGTTTCACTCATTATTGCCGGTTCATTCTTTGTTATGAATCTAGCTTTAACCGTACTCAACAGGTAAATATCTGTATTTTAACGAATGTCCGTTTGCACAACTAAGTTTTATTTCTCCAATAAGTGAATATTCTAAAGAAAGTGAAAGAGCGAAACATCGTGGTGACTTGAAAAAATTACGTGAAATACAGATGATTGAAAATGCGTATAAAAATTATATGACATGGATAAGACAGGCTGGTAGGTATTGATTTCTTAGTCCTTCCTCGCTTTTGCATCACTTGAACTTTCTTCTATTTCAAACAGAAGTTAGTGAAAATCATGTGCAGCAACAGAATGAAGCCGTCGTCAATGGTTAGCATATAGTTGTACACATCATTTTCTTTTGCTATAAAGTGTTTATGCCTTTTTCCAGTCGAATTGCAAAAATTCCATAACGAATTAGATGATATTCATCAAATTACTCCAAAAGTTGTTCAATACCAACTTCGATCTAATGGGTTATCTCCGAAATTGTAGGTAGAAGTTTATCATTTTTTGTAACCTTCTTTGCTTCAAGTATATTTTAGGCAGCCTGTTCTTCGTATACATACATATCTCCGTGGCCGAATTTATAAATTCGTTAAATCACAATTTTTTTATTGGCTAATAATCGTTCTGGTTTTGTTCAATACGATCGCATTATGCTCAGAACATTATAAGGAAACGCTTATCGTGTCACGAATTCAATGTATGTTACACTAGCACACATAGTTTTGCGCTATTTCTGCACTTTACTCTTATTTTAGATATGTCTAACAGTGTCTTCATGTGTCTCTTCTCCTGTGATATGTTACTAAAAATGTATGGTCTGGGTATCAAAAGTTATTTCGTATCAAAATTTAATCGACTAGATTGTTTTATTGTTATTGCTTCATTGATTGAATTCATCTTGATTCAGTTCTACGTTATTCCTCCACTTGGTGTAAGTGTATTGCGTTGTCTACGTTTACTAAGATTATTTAAACTGACACGGTATTGGATATCCCTAAGAACTTTAGTTGTATCGCTATTGAATGGGATTAAATCAGTTGCATCGTTATTAGTGCTGCTACTTCTGTTTATGATGATCTTTGCATTACTCGGAATGCAAATGTTTGGTAAGTGTGAGTGATATTTACACTTTTGAATTAAAATCGATTTTTCTGATCAAAGGTGGAAAATTTCAAAGAATTTTTAAGACGATACCAAGAAGTAATTTTGATTCATTTTGGACAGCGCTGGTCACTGTATTTCAAGTATGTGAAATATACACAACACCACAGAGAAAAAAATAGGCTTCGTAAATTTATGATATCATTATTTTCATACACACAGATTCTCACAGGTGAAGATTGGAACGAAATAATGTATAATGCCATACGTATTCATGATGGTTTCGATCTCTCGGGAACAGCAGCATGTTTCTACTTTATAATACTATTTGTATGCGGAAAATATATTTTATTGAACGTATTTTTGGCCGGTAAGACTTTTTTTTGTTAGGAAAAATATTATCGTTGTCCTAAATAATAGAACTATATTATGCTCTTTTCTTTCTTCTCTACTCTAGTTGCTATAGACAATTTGGATGAAGCAATGATTTTAACCGCTAAACAAAAAGTATAACAGAAAACGAAGCTGTAGAGTAGCTTTTCGCGAACACATTTTTAACTTCCCTAGGCGACCAAACTTACGGCAATTCTATAGAAATTTTATAAGAATCTTATATAAGGTAGTCGATGGAAATGCGTAAGATACTGATAAAATTCTTATAAGAATCTTATAAGGTTCTGATAAGAATTCGGTAAGATAGATTATATAATTAGTTTAGAAGAGTTCATAAGATTTCGATAAGTTAACATAAGAACTTTTATTTACATCAATTAAAGAATTTGACTATATGCAAACTAAATGGATAATCCTGCATCATACAGGATCCTACGATACACAGAAAATTGTTTAGGAATCTATCAAATGTTATGAATTTATGCAAACGAGTAACATGTCATGCCTTGCATTCTTGTTTCACATATTTTTAATTTTCGAACTTCATTTTCTTGCTGTAGTCACGATAGATTTTGGAAGTAAATCCGATCTGCAAGCAGTAGACAATGAGGCCGAGTCATGAGACTGTCCACGTCGGGCTAAGGTCTTATTCTAGAGACAGTAAATAAGTGGAAAGAAAATTATTTTATTCGTGTATGAAACAGTAGATTATAATTTGAAGTCTATTGATATCATATAATAATTGAAGTCTATTGATTCATTACACGACCCTTGGGCGCAACGACACAGGCATTCAGTAAGAATGCCTTCGTTAAAGTATGGTGCATAACGCTAAAATTTGCCCCTGATGATACTTATACAGTGTGAATAATCGACTATGGCGACTCAGAAAATGACTATGAACGACCACTAGGATTAATCGAATTGATTAAAGTTTCCCTTTTCCTTACTTTGCGTCGTTTTTTCGTTTCTTTGCGTTTACCAACAGAGATACTATTCCATAGCATGATATCCATTCATACACAAATGATGAAAAGCATGAAAACAAACGATTCATTTTGAATGTACCTCTTGATCTGATCTTGATCCTTGACTGAATTGTACTGATGTTACCGTGGGTGGTCGAGTATGTGTTGGTGCAATAGTTTATCATTCGTTACTTTATACAAAACGTGGAAAAACAAATAGTTACATAGTACAAATTCGACTGCATCCTAACCATAAAATACATTATATGAGTATTGATTTCTTTGCGAAATGTCGACATAGTCTGTACTTCTCTGGCGACGTTGTGTATGAGTCAGACTCAAAATTCTCAAGTTATGCTCAAAAAAGTGGATATCATAACACATTATCCAAAACAGTTGATCATTTATTTCGTACATGTGGACGCAAATGTTGTACCACGAAAATATTTGTTACCGATTGAATGGCTCATCAGCAAATGTATCACGATCTATTTGCGAACGTTCACTGTATACGTACCGTTGTCTCTTAATTTCGAACACGATTACTTGTAATTTTTAGTCTCCATATCTTTAGTTTTGTGCATGCGTAAGTGAGAGTTATTGTCTACATTTTCTGTCTTATTAGCAACATATATATATGTAGGAGATGTATAGAAATTAAGTGAGCTCGTTCTTTGCTGATATTCTTCTAAAACTTTAATATAATCGTGACAGGAAAATCGTGTTAGAGTAACCTCGTGAAAGTAGAAGTATGACACTATTTGAGAGAAGGAAAACGAGCAGTAGTGAAAAAAATAAATAAATTAAAGTATAAAAATGAGCCGAACTCGATTTGCTGCTAGCTACGAACTTCGATATTCGTTTTTTAAAAGTAGTTACAGGATAAGGAACTTTAACGTAGAAAGACGATGAACTGCACGATTCTGAGAACGCATACCCTCACGATTGTACGAGGTTTATTTGTTTGTTTCATTCTAGTGCATTTGTGATATGAATAGATAGAAAAACCTGTTGAAAACGTTCACCGTGATAAGAAAAGCCAAGTAGTTCAAATCAACATGTACTAATGCATTCATTTTCCAGATGATCGCACATATTAAGTAATTCCAAAACTAA